GAAAATAAATATTTTAATAATCAACTTTAATAAAAAGTTGACAAAATTGATATCGTTGACCAAATATGTATTTATGTATTATTGTTATAATTTTAACGTCAACATGTTTAAAAAAGGCTATGTGTGTTATATCAAAAATTAATTTTGCCCAAAAATAGTTTGTTATGAGATAATATATAACATCTTGATAGTGTTGCGTATTGTCATAATTAACTCTGTCGCTATGATTGTCGACGTGTAACATGTGAGTTAAGAATTGAGCAACTTAGAACGGGACAATATTGCGGCAACACGGTAAACGCACGTAGTTATGAAATATTGAAACGTAAATACTCTCTTGTCCTATATCCGCTCTTGATTTATTTTTGTTTAGTTTACTTTTTGTCACAACTTAGCCTATGTTGATTCGCTTGAATAATAATGAAACATTATCCAATTTATCGAGTTTTATGAAATTCTCCAACAGGATCGTGTCCATTATAGTTATATCAATTTATTGCAGACGATGTGAATTTACAAGCTTTGAATATTTATTAAAATCAAAAGTCATTTTGTTGAAAATAATACGGTGCAATTTTAAATATTCTTTAAGCAGCGATTTTAATTAATAACATCAAATAGAAAGAATACATGTATAGATTTGTAATATTTTCCGATAATCTTCCCTTTGTTCCGATAATAAATAAATAGCTATAAAATTGACATGACCAAATCACATAATAATAAGGTAACTTATTAAATTAATGTTTCCGTTATTTCTTAATTATTTTAAAAAAGGAAAAGTTTTCAGAATATTTGACAATTGATCATATGTTATTTTGTAAACATCTTAAATCATTGAGCAAAAAATCATTGATGAAATGTTACTACAATACAATGATATGGGGAAACTTTTTAATATATTGTTTAATATATAGTTTTTAATAAAAAGAGTAGCATTATCAATATATCTACATCGCTTTAATATTTCTACAATACGTAGTTTTACAATATTTGAATGAATCGTATCAATATCGAATCACTAATCTTTTTAAGATGCTGCTATATATGGATTTTTTAAAAAAGTTTAAATGTGCTGGAAATATGAAATTGTATTTGTCATAATAATTGAGAGACGTGATGAAAAAGCGTTAAATCGTTGATATTATTAATATTTTCAATAAGAAAATCATTGCCAATTATTTATTGCCAATCTTTACGTTGCTCTTATGAGTCAAATAATTATAATTTATTATGATTGAATATCAAATAGGCCTCGGTACAAAAAGATATTTTAGTTTAATTTACAAAAATAAATTTATGCACGAGTGTGCGTTTTTTTGCATATATAATTTCCTTGCCTCATGGGCAAATTTGCTTAATGATAATATTTCATTTTATCTAGTAAGCTATAGAGTTGTTGAATCAATCAATTGATTTTCACTAAAAGTGAAATTTTATATATAATATGCAATATATATTTTGCTAATCTGGGACTCGAACCTGGATTTTTACTTTTCAGATCGAGCACTGTACCTGCTTAGCTGCCGAAGTACCGGCAATATTTAATGTAACATTGAAGCTTATAAACATTACCTAATTCTAACATTACATACTCGCTTTTGGATTAAGAGCGAGCATAAATAATACACTTTTTTGCCGGCATATTAAATAGAACTAAATAAAATAGCATTAATTTTCTCAAATATATAAACATTAAGAATGAGTTCTTGGTAAATAAAAACTATATAAGGGCATTGATAGTGAATAATTTCCTGCGGGAAGATAATAATAATATTGTCGAATATTCTGTAAGGAACATTCTGGAAGGAATATTCAATAAGGATTAAAACTTCTGCAGATTGTATCTGTCGAACGCATGTTGGTTTCACTTAGGAAAATTACAAACAAAAGTTTAAATTTTTATAATTGAATTTAAAAGCTTCAAACTATATTTGAAAGATTCTTCAGAGAAATTTACATATATAATATATATATGTGTGTATGTGTGCATAGTAGTTGCATTGTATGAGGCGTTATTAATAGATCTATCTTTTAACATCATAATGTTAATAATATTATTTTCATGTGTAATTGTGTACATGTATAGCATATCATATAATAGCAAAACAATAATAAGTATATATAAAGAGGGCGAAATGTATATAATATATAAAAATATTTATTTATTTATTAATGTGCTTTAATATGTTTTTCCATTACTATCAAATACAGTTATACTTTAGTAAATATAGGTAATTATGTGTTATATGTATTTTAATATTAATCATAGAATGTCCATCCATAATGGATGAGGTAGTGAATGTGTTAATAATATCTTCGGTTGAATTTTTTTTAACATATTACGAATATAAGGTGAATATTACTGGTGAATAGCGAATAACTTTTCGTTGCCACGATTTTGCGAGGAATTTCTTTCTTCGATAAAGATTTTCGTTTAATCATAAGTTTCTTAGAACAATTTTATTTTTTATTGCATCGTTACTACTAACATATACTTAACCAAACAAAAATTGAACCGTTTACAGTTAAGATTATATAAAAAAATCCTAACGAAGGATATAAGGTGTACATTGTTTTCAGAGTAAAATCTACAATTTCCTTTTATTCTTGTTTGTCAACAAGATATGAAATTGGCACTGTGCACGTGTAAATTTTGATTGTTGTGTCGTAGTTGATATTTGCGCCTTGCATTTCTATAATTAAAAAGAAATATATGTACAAAACGTTTTTAAAGCGATAATAAAACGGGTTACCTTCTTTCAAGCACTTATTTAATATTTCCATGCTTTCTTCCAACCTGGCCGAATCAGAGATCAAATCCCGAATCATTTGCTCGGATCTATCTTTTACGAATAAACCATTTTTATCGAGAACCTAAAATAACCAAAATAATGGTTGCACCATTATGTTATATGTTAAAACATACAGGGTTTGCCAAAAGTTCCGGAATGGCTAATTATTTCAAAAAATGATGATTGTTTAAAACAATGTTTGAAATAAAAGTTATAGGGCTTAAAAAATGCTATCAGATATTGATAATTGTTTGATCTTGGAATGACCTTGAGAAACGTTATCAAGATCGACATAAAAATCTTAAATAGAAACTCCAATTTTTATTACATCGTCTTTTTCCATTAATTAATTTGAACAAGTTTTGTCTGAAACATTTTTTTACTTGCCTAATATTTTTTGAGATATTTAAGGATAACTTGGTAATTTTTTTAATATTTAACTTACGATATTTCGCTAACTGTCGGGATAAAAAAATGGTACTAGACTTTTCTATTCTACTTGGTCTCAAGAATATATTGTTACAACAGCGCCCTGACTTTTGTTAATTTGATGATTTTGAAATTTCGTAAGATCGATAAATTAACAAAAAATAGAGCATTATTGCACCAATATATTTCTGAGATCAAATAGAATAGAAAAGTCTAGTACCATTTTCTATCCCAACAAATAGTTAGCGAGATATCGTAAGTTAAATATTGAAAAAGTTACCAAGTTATCCTTAAATATCTCAAAAAATATTAGGCAAGTAAAAAAATATTTCAGACAAAAGTTGTTCAAAATAATTAGTGGAAAAGGATGGTGCAATAATAAATTTAAGTTTCCATTTAAGATTTTTATGTCGGCCTTGATAACGTTTCTCAATGTCATTTCAAGGTCAAATAATTATCAATATTTGATAGCTTTTTTCAAGCCCTACAACTTTTGTTTCAAACATTGTTTTAAACAATCAGTATTTTTTGAAATAATTAGCCGTTCCGGAACTTTTGGCAGACCCTGTATGTTGTTCTGTTATTATATTAGATACAAAGATATATACATTGCCATCTTTGTTCAACATGCAATAGATTATTTTGCCAGTGGGTTTAGCTGTAAAGATAAGTATATATAAATATACAGAATGTCTCAGAACTTTGGGACACGGGCTCCGTAGGGACATAGAGCTAAGTGAGAGGAACAAAACAGTCCTATAACATAATGTGAAAATCGTAATAGTTTTTTAGTAATAACCGCGTAAAATTTGGCTTTTTCCATGCCCAGCGCGGCCTATAGACGCTCCGCGGCAAGCTGTGTGCGCAAGGGCTAAGTGATAACGCGGCTCGCGCTGACCATCGCGCGGCGTCAAAGCGCCAAGAGCAAGACGCTATCGCGACAGTCAGCGCGAGCCGCGTTATCGTTCAGCCCCTACGCACACAGCTTGCTGCGAAGCGTCTATAGGCCGCGCTGGGCCTGTAAAACGTCTAACTTTGCGCTGTTATAATTAAAAAACTATTACGATTATTACATTATGGCAAAGAACTTTTTTGTTCCTTTCACTTAGCTCTATATCCCTACGGAGCCTGTGTGCCAAAGTTCTGAGACACTCTGTATATATAGGGTGGGGGGTTATAAGTTTACAACCCGAAGTGTGAAAGTAGATTGGGTTAAGACAAACATAAAAGTCCCGTTTTGCGAGACTCGCAATAATTATCGAGTTACTAATGACAGAAATCTGAGAAGTGGGAGCGCGCCGGCATAGATGATTGGCGAAGTCGATCCAACAACTGTTGCCGGTGCGTGGCGAAGGGAAAGACAATACGCCGCTATTCGTTGTTTTATCTCGTCGAACCTATGTCTCGCCGCACGCCGTCAACAGTTGCTTGGTCGAGTGGGCCGTGCTGTGGCCTGAGTAGCTGCAACGTTTCTCCAATCATCTATGTCGGAGCGCTCCCATTCCTCAAATTTCTGTCATTAATAACTTGATAATTATTACGAATCTCGCAAACCACGCTTGCTGAATCACGCTTGCTTCTTACCAAGAACGTGCAGTTATTGAGCTTATAAACGAACATGAAAGATTGTGTAATACATGGAACGATAGATGACGAAACAGGAGCAAACACTGATTTTTACGTTGATTATTCATCGATTCTTTCATTACGAACTTGTTACAATACTAAAAACTTATTTTGTTTATCATATTATTTCTTTCGGGTTCTAAAGTTTGATACTCACATGGTGAACCTTTCAATTCCTTGCTGCATTCCGCTAAGTTAGCGTAGTATTTGTTTAACCGGTCGTTCTCGATACTGTAAACCACCTGGTGGATATCTGGAAGAATCGATCATACCCAAACGTAAAAATGTTTTTATTTTGTTTAAATAATTATGCAGATGTGGTATTTAATAGTTTTTATGCTTCGAACATATTTTTGATGTACAATTTTCATGTTAGATTATTATATTCTCTTACAAAGAAAATCAGAATGGTAGGGATTGTTAACAAGAGATTCGTGTTCCTTTTTATATAAAAGATATATAAATTTTGTTTTTCCTTAAATAATTTCAATTTATATCTAAAGTAATATACTAGAGTTTGCATTCAAAATCTACAGGTTTTTAATATCTGTGAAGAAAAGTGCGATTTAAAAAAAATATAGTACTTTTAAAATAGAATTTTAAATAGCATAGAAATAAGCTGTTTGTTCAGATGATTATATTTCTTTTGTTAATATATAATATTAATGTTAAAGCTGCCGCTATATGCATTAGGCGCTATTGTATGAAATATCTTTATTATATGAAAACAATCAGCAATCCGAATATAAAATGTATATAAAATGCATTTAGTAAGTACTTAAGATTACAGCAATAATATTATTATGAATAACATCGAGATACCGCGACTGCTTCGTTTGTTTGAGAGGAAATTTATTTGTTACTTTGTACTTACCGTTATAGTTAATATACCTACGATGATGATCAAGGTCTTCATTTTGGATTCTACGAGAACAGGTAAAGAAATATATATTACGATGTTTGTGCATGTATATGTATGTATGTGACTTTTTAACGTAGATTGCTGATACGTTCCAATATTCACTTCCAGTATTGAAACTGTGTTCGTTTTCAGAGAGTGTATGTGACATGAACTATAGATTTTCAGTATTTACTGGCAGTAAATATTGGAACGCATCTTATATTGCATTGAAACAGCATTCTCATATTTATATGTAATTTACAGTGGGGGGCATGCATTATAAAAATTAGTGCTCCATTTTATACTTTGATCGCAGTCTATTTGATTTACAGTTTTACAATGTGATGAGATACTACAAATTATATATAATTCTCACGTTGGATCATTATATTACATTTCTAAAAGAGTAATTTAAAATAACACAGATATTTAAATCATAATTGTTAAGTGTAGCCGTTGAAATACTAATACGGTTCAGAAATGAGTTTTCCGAATTGATATGGAGAAATTACCTTACGATGACTTTTGCAGATATGTCGAAATGTTGCCACGTGTAGTTTTGTATTTACTGTTTAGACCGGAATATCGCTATATTCAGGTTTAATCTTTGTCGTTCTTAAATGCTTCAGAATATTGTTATCCCAAAAGCGATGAACATGCTTTTATAAGTAATATGATGTAAATGTCATTGTACAAATATATTATCTTTTTTCGTTAAATATTACGTTATCTCAATATTAGCAATTTACTCTGTCGCTCAAATACGTATGAGGATAATATACAGGGTGTCCCATTTTAATGTCCCATCCCAAATAATTCTTCAGTATTGAAGTTTCAAGGAAAATGATTAAAAGTCAAAAATCAGTAAGCTAACAAAAGTCAAGGCGCTATTGTAACAATATATTCTTGAGACTAAATAAAGCAAGAAAGTCTGGTACCACTTTTCTTCCGACAAATAGTTAGCGAGATATCGTAAGTTAAATATTGAAAAAGTTATCAAGTTTTCCTCAAATATCTCAAAAAATATTAGACAAATAAAAAAATGTTTTAGATAAAAGTTGTTCAAATTAACTAGTAGAAAAAAATAGTGTAATAAAAAATAAGAGTTCCCTTTAAAAAACGCAAGTTGACCTTCAAATGATCTTGAAAATAGAGGTCAAGGTCAAAGTCAAGGTCATCATAAGATAGCTCACTTAAATCTCTACTACTTTTATTCAGATCATTTTCCTTGAAATTTCAATACTGAAGAGTTATTTGAGGTGGGACATTAAAATGGGACACCCTGTATACAGGATGAGTAAAAAATATGGAAATCCGTAAAAACCATAAAAAATATAAGTTTTATAAAAAAGTATTTCGGATAAAAGTTATAAGACTCAAAACGATGTATTTACTGATCTTATCAGTTTGACCTTGAGTGAGGTTGTCAAAGTCAGGTCAAGGTCAATTTAATTTCTTTAAACAGAACCATCATTTTCATTATATCATCTTTTTCTAACAATTAATATAAACAACTTTCTTTCAAACAGTTTTTTATTCGCCTAATATTTTTTGAGATATTGAAGGAAAACTTGATGACTTTTTTAATACTTAACTTAAGATATCTCACTAACTATTTGTTGGAAGAAAAAATGGTACTAGACTTTCCTACTCTATACTTTTAATAATAGAAGGTTGTTTTGAATCACCCTGTATAAACATAAATACGACGAAACCAAAAGATATCCATTTCTTAATGGTCGCGCAGTATTTAATCTTTATAATATATATATGTGTAATATATAACGCCTGAAATATGTGTGGCCGATTATAAAGTCAAAACGACGAAGACGATAGCGTGTAGATAATTTACAATATAAATACGAAGTGTTATTTTTCATGAAAATATTTATATATGATATGTCTCATGCGTCACTATGCTATTATTAGAGATTACGAAGACTTTGGGAACAAAATTTGGTTTGTTTTCAATGTTACTGTACAATTTCGACATGTTTTAAGACGCAGATTCGTAACTAGTACTGCTTATATCATTACTGTTTTCGCCGTGTATAAAATGTAGTATATATTTAAAATATTGAAACACATAGACCCCTTCTAATTAATAGTTTTATCAAAATTTATTAAGAGTATTTTCTTATTATTATTTAATATAATGCTGAAAATTTGCGAAAATAATTTAATTTTATTCATTGGCATACAAGTTTGGAGCAGTAATTATTATCCGAACTTCGTCTTTATCACTGACATTTTACAAAATAGTGACAGTGTAGATAAATAACAAAAATAATATTTTGTTTATTTATTGGTCTATGTTTAAAACAGAAACTATTTTCTTATTTTAAAGTAATTAAAATTAGATAATTGATATTCAAGAATAATTAGTTTAGTATCAAGAGTAATTAAAATTGAGAAAAAAATAATTTAATAGAATTTTTAACTGTCTGTATGCTTGAAAAGAATAAGGCATTGAAATAATCATATTATTATGTAGTGGAATTTAAGGATGTATAATAATATTAAACAAATATTAGGTGTAGTAAAAAGAAATCCATTATTTTTTCAATAGATGGCTTTAGTTATCTGTATATCGCGTTGTATAAGTCCGATCGGGTTCCACTAGATGGCGATAGAAAGATGAGATTTCGTACTAAAAAAACTTTTGTGACAGTTTTGTGATTAGTTGACTCAGTTTTGTTTGAGCGCGCGTCAAAGATGGACACTAGCAAAGAGAAAATACGCTATATTTTACAGTTTTTCTTCGATAAAGGCGAAAACGCAAGCCAGGCGGCTGAAAATGTGAATAGTGTTTATGGTCCTGATACTGTAACAGCCAATCACGCGCTATTTTGGTTTCGTCGATTCCGTTCCGGTAATTTCGATGTCAAAGATGCACCACGCACTGGAAGGCCAATTGTCGAAAATATCGATAAAATCATGGACATTGTCGAGTTCGACCGTCATGTAAGCACTGTTTCGATTGCCCAAGAGCTAAAGATTGCACAAAAAACTCTTTGGAACCATTTGAATAAGGCTGGATACAAAAAGAAGCTCGATGTATGGGTGCCACACGAGTTAACGAAAAAAAACCTCATGGACCGAATTTCCATCTGCGAATCGCTGCTGAATCGCAACAAAATCAACCCATTTCTGAAGCGGTTGGTTACTGGTGATGAAAAGTGGATCACTTACTACAATGTCAAGCGAAAACGGTCGTGGTCGAATCGCGGTGAGCCGGCGGAAACGATGGCCAAGCCAGGATTGACGGCCAGGAAGGTTTTGCTGTGTGTTTGGTGGGATTGGCAGGGAATTATCTACTATGAGCTGCTCCCCTACGGCAAAACTCTTAACTCGGAACTGTACTGTCAACAATTGGACCGTCTGAAGGAAGCAATCGCCCAGAAGCGGCCAGCTTTGGCCAATAGGAGAGGAATTGTGTTCCATCAGGACAACGCCAGGCCACACACATCGATAGTGACTCGCCAGAAGCTCCGGGAGCTTGGTTGGGAGGTTCTTATGCATCCACCTTATAATCCGGACCTGACACCAAGTGATTACCATCTGTTCCTGTCCATGGCGAACAATTTTGCTGGTGAAAAATTCGTTTCAAGAGAGGCTTGTGAAAATCGACTGTCTCAATTTTTTGCCAATAGGGACGAGGGCTTCTATGAGAGAGGCATAATGAAATTACCTTCAAAATGGTAATAAGTTATCAAATAAAACGGCACATATTTGACCTAAATCGAATCATTCTAACTATGGTAATTAAAGCCTTCAATTTCATGCAAAAATAATGGATTTCTTTTTACTACACCTGGTATATAGGGTACACCATTTTATTCAATATATCCGAATATTTGGAAAAGGGGAAGCTTTTCAAAAATATATGTCAGACAAAAAGTTTTATGGCTTCGAGGAAAAAAGTGAGTACACTATTAATTTAATTGTAGATGGCGCCACTTTAGAGATTTTATCATAGCGGCAATTTCTTACATGGAAATAAATTTTTTTTTTAATAAAAGTTGTAACTCATAATGAAACGAGTACAACAGTTTCTTGTTTTTGCAATTGGATCATTTATCAGTGAGTTATAGCCTTCCAAAACTTATAATTTAAGTAAAGAGCTTCCATCCTCATACAGTCTCTCTCTCTCTCTCTCTCTCCCTCCCTCTCTCTCTCTCTCTCTCTCCCTCTCTCTCTCTATCTCTCTACCTCTCTCCCTCTCTTCCTCTCTCCCTCTATCCCTCTCTTCCTCTCTTCCTCTCTCCCTCTCTCCCTCTCTGTCTATCTGTCTATCTCTCTGTCTGTGTATGTATGTGTGTGTTGCGCGTGTACGCGTATGCGTGTGTGTGTGTGCGCGTATGCGTGTGTGTGCGCGCGTGTGTGCGCGTGTGCATGTGGACGCGCGCGCATGTGCATGTGTGTTGTACTTATCCGTTATCTGAATTCTGTTTGATTGACACATGCACACACACACTAATACACACAGATTTAATTGTTTACCAATGTACTTTATATATTGGGGACTTGAATAAGTTCCCACTGTTTTTTCGTGAAAATGAATGCTTTATTTAAAAAAATTAATAAAGGACATGTCATTGAAAGTATTGTCCATCGCTAGCCACTACTTTCTCCCATCTTTCTGGCAACATATGAATACCATGTCGAAAGAAAGATTCATCTTTTGAGGTTATCCACGAATTAACCCATTTTTTGGCATCTTCATAAGAATGGAAGTGCTGCTCAGCCAGGCCATGAGTCATCGATCGGAACAAGTGGTAATCGGAAGGAGCAATGTCCGGTGAATACGGCGGGTGGGGTAGGACTTCCCATTTCAGCGTTTCCAAGTAGGTTTTGACCGGTTTTGCAACATGTGGCCGAGCGTTATCATGCTGCAAAATTACTTTGTCGTGTTTTTCCTCGTATTGTGGCCGTTTTTCCTTTTGCCTAATGCTTTTAAATGTTTGGCAACTGTTGTGTGATCAACTCCTAATGATTCTGCAAGTTCATTTTGTGTCTGACATGGGTCTTCATCGAGTAATGCTTCCAATTCTTCGTCTTTAAACTTTTTCGGTGCGCCAGAGCGTTCTTTATCTTCAGCATAAAAATTATTATTTTTAAAGCATCGAAACCAATCTCTGTATGTTGTTTCCGACAAAGCATGATCGCCGTAAGTCTCCACAAGAATTCTATGTACTTCTGCTGCAGATTTTTTTGAAAAATATAATGCAGTAAAATTCCCTGCAAATACTCTTTTTTTTAGCACGAAATTCGATATGTTTAACGCTACGAAAAAATATGTTGTTTATGCTTCGGCGGAATAACATATACTGTCCCTTCGAGCCTAATGGTGGAACTCCACTATGAAATAGGCTGTAGTATTGCCCGATGCAAAAAGGCTAAGATAACACCATCTGTCGGGAAACAGCGACAATTTATTCAAGTCCCCAATAATATGCTTTCGATTAATTAATATTAAACTCAGTTATAATTTAATACATATGGATAATTGCATGTTGCACATATTTTAATATTTATTGCATAAGTTCATTGGTGACCGACGAAACAATGAATACATTAATAATGTCTCCGGAGATAAATGTTTCTCAATATATTATGGATATAAAAAGAATATTTCTGGTGAAAAAATGAGTCATTTTTCAATGCGATAAATCTTTGTTGACGGATTTTTGAGGATGTCTTTTTCGAAAAAAGTTTTGTTTAACCTAGTCGAAAGTTTCATTAAATAATATAACTTCTTATTATATCGTTATTACGCAAAGATATATTTCAACGAGAAAAGACCAAATGATTTACAATTTTTACAAGATTGCACAAAAAAATTGCAATAAAGTATATAAACTGTACATTATATTCAGTGGAAAATCTATAATTCTCTTTTATCCTCTCTTATCTGGATCAACGAGAGACACAAGTGGCATACCGCACTCGATAAGTTTCATCGTTACATTGCCTGTGAGGTGCATATCTGCAATTAAAAAGAAATATATGTATGAAACTTTTTTAAAGCGATAGTAAAACGGGTTACCTTCTTCCAAGCACTTATTTAATATTTCCAGGCTTCTTTCCAACTTGGACGGACCAGAGATAAGATCCCGAATCATTTGCTCAGTTCTATCTTTTATGAACATACCGTCTTCATCGAAAACCTGGAACAATAAAAATAATATTGACATTATGTTGCTCATATAAAAGCACATATGCTGTTCTATGTTATTACATATCAAATACAAAGATACGTACATTTCCATCCTTCTGCAGCGTGCAATGCATTATTTCGGGAGTGGGTTTAGCTGTAAAGGTAAATAGAGATAAAATTGCGTATCTACGAAATTTCAAAAATTTTTTTCGACGATTGTATAACCAATATGAGCCAATTGGGTAACAAGTCATTTGAATAAACATCCTCGCTTCTCATCAAGAATGTGCAATTATTGAGCTTATAAACAAACATGAAAAATTTTGTAATATGCAGAACGATAGATGACGGAACAGGAGGAAACACTGACTTTTACGTTAATCTTTCATTGATTCTTTTATTACGAACTTATTACAATGATAAAAATTTATTTTGTTTATCATATTATTTCTTTCGGGTTCTAAAGTTTGATACTCACATGGTGAACCTTTCAATTCCTTGCTGCAATCCGCTAAGTTAGCGTAGTATTTGTCTAACCGGTCGTTATCGATACTGTAAACCACCGTCTGGAAAAATCGATCACGCCCAAATGTAAAAATGTTTTTATTTTGTTTAAATAATTATGCAGATGTAGTATTTAACAGTTTTTATGCTTCGAACATATTTTTGATGTACAATTTTCATATTAGATTATTATATTCTCTTACAAAGAAAATCAGAATGGTAGGGATTGTTAACAAGAGATTCGTGTTTCTTTTTATGTAAGAGATACATAAATTTTGTTTTTCCTTAAATTTCAATTTATGTCTAAATTTCAATCTATGTCTAAAGTAACATACTAGAGTTTGCATTCAAAATCTACAGGTTTTTAATGTCTGTGGAGAAAAGTGCGATTTTAAAAAATATAGTACTTTTAAAATAGAATTTTAAATAGTATAGAAATAAACTGTTTGTTCAGATGATTATATTTCTTTTGCTAATATATAATATTAATGTTAAAGCTGCCGCTATATTCATTAGCCGCTATTGTATGAAATGTCTTTATTGTATGAAAATAATCAGCAATCCGAATATAAAATGTATATAAAATGCATTTAGTAAGTACTTAAGATTACAGCAATAATATTATTATGAATAACATTGAGACACCGCGACTGCTTCGTTTGTTTGAGAGGAAATTTATTTGTTACTTTGTACTTACCGTTATAGTTAATATACCTACGATGATGATCAAGGTCTTCATTTTGGATTCTACGAGAACAGGTAAAGAAATATATATTACGATGTTTGTGCATGTATATGTGTGTATGTGACTTTTTAACGTAGATTGCTGATACGTTCCAATATTCACTTCCAGTATTGAAACTGTGTTCGTTTTCAGAGAGTGTATGTGACGTGAACTATAGATTTTCAGTATTTACTGGCAGTAAATATTGGAACGCATCTTATAATGCATTGAAACAGCATTCTCATATTTATATGTAATTTACAGTGAGGGGCATGCATTATAAAAATTAGTGCTCCATTTTATACTTTGGTCGTAGTCTATTTGATTTACAGTTTTACAATGTGATGAGATACTACAAATTATATATAATTCTCACGTTGGATCATTATATTACATTTCTAAAAGAGTAATTTAAAATAACACAGATATTTAAATCATAATTGTTAAGTGTAGCCGTTGAAATACTAATACGGTTCAGAAATGAGTTTTCCGAGTTGATATGGAGAAATTACCTTACGATGACTTTTGCAGGAGATCTGTCGAGGTGTTGACACGTGTAGTTTTGTATTTACTGTCTAGATCAGAATATCGCTATATTCAAGTTTAATCTTTGTCGTTCTTGAATGCTTCAGAATATTGTTATCCCAAAAGCGATGAGCATGCTTTTATAAGTAATATTATGATGTAAACGTCATTGAACAAATACATTATCTTCTTTTATTAGGTATTATCTCAATATTACCTCAATATAATATTCTGAACATTATCTCAATATCAGCAATTTACTCTGTCCCGTAAACACGTGTAAGGATAGTATACAGGGTGATTCAAAACAACCTTCCATTATTAAAAGTATAAAATCCTGATAAAATTCTAAAACAACTTTTCCTCTTGCAAAACTTTGGCAAAAGCTCAGATTTTAAATTATTAAAAAAAGCGGTAGACCTATTATAGGTCGGGTACGGGCGGTAGATAGGTGCGGCGCAACTCACCGTCAAACGTGGGCGTTAACGCGGAGTACCCGCAGCAATCAGCTGATTACACTACACATGTTATACACTAGCTACGTTCCAATATTCATTGCCAGCATAAAAATTTGTATTTTCTGTGACGTTAGGTGATTGTTATAACTGGCAAAAATTTTGGAAAACAGCCAGGATTGTACGCGCACACACATGCAAGCACGTTCTCGGTCTCTCCGAGTCTGTTTTCCAAAATTTTTGCCCATTATAACAATCACCTAACGTCACAGAAAATACAGATTTTTATGCTGGCAATGAATATTGGAACGTAGCTAGTGTATAACATGTGTAGTGTGATCAGCTGATTGCTGCGGGTACTCCGCGTTAGCGCCCACGTCTGACGGTGAGTTGTGCCGCACCTGTCTACCTCCCGTACCCGACCCGCAATAGGTCTACTACTTTTTTTAATAATTTAAAATCTAAGCTTTTGCCAAAATTTTGCAAGAGGAAAAGTTGTTTTAGAATTTTATCAGGATTTTATACTTTTAATAATAGAAGGTTTTTTTGAATCACCCTGTATAAGCATAAATACGACGAAACCAAAAGATATCCATTTCTTAATGGTCGCGCAGTATTTAATCTTTATAATATATATACGTGTAATATATAACACCTGAAATATATGCCTGAAATATGGCCGATTATAAAGTCAAAATGGCGAAGATGATAGCGTGCAGATAATTTACAATGTAAATACGCAATGTTTGCTTTTCATGGAAATATTTATAAACAGGGTGTCCGGAATGTGATCATTAATATTTTGTATACTGGTAGAACTCGTTAAAACAATTAAAAACGTCCTATGTCATTTTACAATTTTTTCAATATTTATTCCGTAATTAGTTAAAATGCGTAAACGAATGAGCACACGAGAATGCGACAGGACGGACTCTGTGTATAAGAAGATGGCTTACCTCACGCGGCGAGAGACAACCGTAAGCGACAAGAGGCGTGCGCGCACGACGAGGAACGAGCGAGCGAACAAGGGACAAGAGGCGGCCGCCCAGCGCTCTCTACGCGCTCATTGACTCACATGTTTTAATTAATAACTCGATAACTATTGCCAATTTGACATTATGGTACATGACTTTTCTTCTCGGCTACACCCAATCTACCAGTACACAAAATATTAAAGATCACATTCCGGACACCCTGTATAATATATGTCACGCGTCATTATGCTGTATTGTCAGAGATTACAAAGATTTTGGGAACAAAATTTTGATCGTTTTCAATGTTACTGTACAATTTCGACATGTTTTAAAACGCAGATTTGCAACTCGCGCTGCTTGTATCATTATTGTTTTCGCCGCGTATATAATGTACTTTTAAAATATTGAAACACATAGATCTTCTAACTAATAGTTTTATTAAAATTTATTAAGAGTATTTTTTTACTATTATTTAATATGATGCTGAAAATTTGCGAAAATAATTTAATTTTGTTCATTGGCATACAAGTTTGGAGCAGTAATTACTATCCGAACTTTGTCTTTGTCATTGGCTTTTTACAAAATAGTGATTGTATAGGTAAATAACAAAAGCAATATTTTGCTTATTTATTGGTCTGTGTTTAGAACACAAACTATTTTTTTATTTTAAACTAATCAAAATTAGTTAATTTATATTTAAGAATAATTAGTTTAGTATCAAGAGTAATTAAAATTAAGAAAAAAATAGTTTAATAGTATTTTTAACTCTCTGTATTCTTGAAAAGAATAAAGCATTGAAATAATTATAATATTGTGTAGTGGAATTTAAGGATGTATAATAATATTAAACAAATATATAGGATAGGCAATTTTATTCAATACATCCTGGAAAAGGGGACGCTTTTCAAAGCAATATTTTAAACAAAAGTTTTATGGTTTCGAGGGAAAAGAGTGTTGACATTATCAATTTAATTGTAGATGGCGTCACTTTAGAGATTTCATCATAGTGGCCATTTGTTAAAATGGAAATTGATTTCCTTCTTGAAATAAAAGTTGCAGCTGACAATGGAATGAGTATAACGGTTTTGCTTTCTGAAATTGGATTATTTGTCAGTGAGTTACAGCGTTCCAAAATTTATAATTTAAGTGAAAAACTTCCATCCTCATACAGTGCCCCCCTCTCACTCTCTCTCTCTCTTTCTCTCTCTCTTAAATTGATTTTACGTTTAACGTCACGTTCTTTATTCAAATTTTCATAATTTTCTCCAAACTACAATCAATTTATCGAAACCACATATTAAATTTTAATTAGATCCCAGGAAATTTTTTATATAAATATTAATATGATTATTCGTAAGATTACTCTCCTATAAAGCTGCTTCATTACGTCTTACATTTAATTTATCATAATTTTCACCTTTAATGTACGTTTCGCTGAAATTTAATAATTCGGCCAGGTGATCGCAATTCTTCCAGACGAGAACAAAGCTCTCTCTCTCTCTCTCTCTCTCTCTCTTCCTCTCTCTCTCTCCCCCCTATCTTCCTCCCCCTCCCTCACTCTCCCCTCCCCTCTTCCCCTCTCGTCTTCCTCCTTCCATCTCCCACACCCCGCTCTCCCCCTCCCTATCTACCCCTCCCCCCTCTCTCACTCTCTCTCCCCCTCTGTGCGTGCGTGCGTACGTGCGTGCGTGCGTGCGTGCGTGCGTGCGTGCGTGTGTGTGTGTGTGTGTGTATGTGTTGTTCATTTCCGTTATCTGAATTCTGTTTGATAGCGTACACGCACACAGACACAAATAAATACAGATTTAATGATTTACCAATATACTTTAATATGCTTTTACTTAATTAATATTAAATTCAGTTATAATTTAATGAAGGTGGATAATTGCATGTTATACATATTTTAATATTTATTGCATGAGACATTTATCGGTGATCGACGAAGCAATGAATGCATTAATAATGTCTCCGGAGATAAATGTTTTTCAATATATATATTATAGATATAAAAAGAATATTTCTAGTGAAAAACGAGACATTTTTCAATGCGATAAATCTTTTTTGACGGATTTTTGAGAATGTCTTTACGAAAAAAGTTTTGTTCAGCCTAGTCGAAAGTTTCTTTAAATAATATAATTTCTAATTATATCGTTATTACGCAAATATTAAATATTTCAACGAGAACAGACCAAACGATTTACAAATTTTACAAGATTGCACAAAAGAATTGCAATAAAGTACATAAAGTGTACATTATATTAAGAGGAAAATCTGTAATTCTCTTTTATCGTCTCTTATCTGGATCAATGAGAGACACAAGTGGCGTACCGCACTCGATAAGTTTCATCGTTACATTGCCTGTGAGGTGCATATCTGCAATTAAAAAGAAATATATGTATGAAACTTTTTTAAAACGATAATAAAACGGGTTATCTTCTTTCAAGCACTTATTTAATATTTCCAGGCTTCTTTTCAACTTGGACGAATCAGAGATAAGATTCCAAATCATTTGCTCGGTTCTATCTTTTATGAACATACCGTCTTCATCGAAAACCTAGAACAATAAAAATAATATTGACATTATGTTGCTCATATAAAAGCACATATGCTGTTCTATGTTATTACATATCAAATACAAAGATACGTACATTTCCATCCTTCTGCACCGTGTAATACATTATTTCGCGAGTGGGTTTAGCTGTAAAGGTAAATAAAGATAAAATTGCATATCTACGAAATTTCAAAATCTATCTACGAAATTTCAAAAATTTTTTTCGGCCATATGTATAACCAATATGAACCAATTGAATAACAAGTCATTTGAATCAACATCATCGCTTCTTATCAAGAATGTGCAATTGTTGAGCTTATAAACGCATATGATAGATTGTGAAATATGCAGAACGGTAAATGACGAAACAGGAGACATTGATTCTTGATGTTGGTTTTCAATTGAGTTTTTTATTATGAACTTGTAATAACAAAAATTTATTTCGTTTTCCATGTTTTTTCTTCCGGGTGTTCTAAAGTTTGATACTCACATGGTGAACCTTTCAATTCCTCGTTGCATTCCGCATATTGAGTGGTAAGGAAAAACTATTATTTCCATACCACGAGAACTTAAATTAAATTACAGACTTCTGTTTAACGGAAGCTTATCGTGATTTCATAACTAATTCTTTATGTTCTATTTTCGTAAATATCTTATTAGAGAATTAGAAAGATGTGCGAAATATTTAGCCATTATGTGTTACGTTCATAATGTATGTGCAGCAGTGTAATACGTTCTTTGTAATTATGTGATAGAAAAACATGTGCTTTTTAACGACTTTACGATAGATTACGATGCGCCTTTTATCGTAATTATATTTAGTGATCAATTTTATGTCAATTTTATATCGTTGATGCACAATTGACAATAATGAGTTTTCTTTTCTTAGTTATATGATAAAGAACTTTGAATTTCTCTTATCGTTAATATTACACTGCTTACGACAGATTTCCGATACTTTTTTCACGGTATGCGGAAGAAAATAGTTTGATCCAATGAATATAGAACCCCTCGGTTTCTACGATTTTTCTTTTCATTTTTTTTATAACAACATTTTTTACGATTTCAACATAAGCTATTTTTACTGCCTCATTAAATGAACTTATAATTGTAATCACGAAACGTATCGAGTCATAGTGATCATATCGAT